GAAATGCTAATTTACTTATCTATTTGCAATTTGTATCTGTTGCAATAGTTGCTGAAGCAATCGGTTCTCATCTCATCGGCCACCTTAAATTTTTCGATTCAATCTTACACCTTAAATTTGCTTAAACGACTGTCTAAATACTGAACCACCATCAAGTGATAAATTTCACTTGCTTTTATATCTTTTGATTGCAAAACCGTATAATACCACGCTGCACTAGGCTGGTGCATTCTGACAGATGAGTAGCCATCTGTAATAAGACATCGACATTTGCATATAATAAATATATCTGATATTAGAAGAAAGCAAAATTTGTGCAGACAATTGCTTTGTAATATGATCTACCAAACTCCAATGAAACGTTCCATTGTAATTGAAAACGTAACAAATATTCACGCTTTCGTTGTTGGACGCATAATAACAAGAATACTGCGAAAGCTGAAATAGAAATTTATGTGTTTCTATAAATTTTTTAAAATATATTTTTTATTTAAATATTTCATTTCTTGCGTTGAAACCGTGTTGTATTAAATTTTTGAGAGTTTTAAACACAAAATCGTGTTATTAATCAATCACGTGGCTTCTTTTTCATCTTTATTGATTAAAATAGAAAAGAATAAAAATAGAAAAGAAGCCATGTGAGTGATTAATAATACGATCTTTTGTTTAACACACTTAAATATTTTTGTTAATATATTCGTATTCCACAAAATACAAGTTTAAATATCATACACCATTGCTGTTTAATATTAGTATATTGTATACAGTAAGATTAAAATTCTATTATCTTGTTATGACAGCACAACTTGTTCAAACGCATCCATATGCAAGTTCAAACATGCTCTCACAGCGAGTATTATAGAAGGAAATCAAATTACAAAGAACACATACACATGAAGTTGGAACTTATAAATTGCTCGTGTATGTATGTACATGTCATATATGCATGTTCATACCTGTCGCTGTAAATGCAGCGACATAAAATATTATGAATAGTTATATTTCATTTTTTCATACTGTCGGTATTTTTTTTCTTAAAGTATAAAATTAGTGCAATGTGATTATATAAATAATTAAAAAAATTACATTTATAATTACAGTCAAAATTCAATTAGTAATAGTAAGGCTTACTGTTGTTATTCCTTTGGATGGGGGTCGCGGAGCTAAGAAGGTTTTTATATTTACTATTTAGGGATCGCGGAGCTAAGAAGGTTGAGAATCGGTGTTGTATGTTATTTGCCTTCCATTTGAACATTTAAAATGTTTTCTTGAAATTGTGACTTACATCTTTGACTAAATCCATTCATTGTTTTTCTAGATTTTGTGAAAATTAACTTATTTTGCTTTTGAAACACTGGGATCTTCACAATATAAATCTATTCTAATAAGAAAAGAAAAATATTACTAAAATAGTTTTTGTTTTGATTGAAAAGATATAGAAGTATAGATATTACAGATACTGCAGTGGAGAATTAATATAATCGCATACATTTTTTACATTTTCAATACAAAATATTCTTAATAATTGGTATAATAGTCGAAATTTACGAGTTCTGCAAAATTTACAATGTTTGTAAGATAGAATATATTTACAAAATACATACACAAAAAATATTATTAAAAGTAGAGGAGAAGGTGGTATTATGGAACACTGCGGGTATTATGGAACCACCCCATTTCGAACTGATAGCGGAATGTGGCTGAACTGAACTAGGCAGACATCCATAGCAAGGGGAAAATCCGTTTTACTTCAGTTAAACGGTTGTCTGTATTTAATCAGCAAATTTGTTTTTTTCAAAATTTGCAAGTTTTGAATGCTAAGTGAATTTAATTATTTTTAAAATATAAATCGTGTAGTTGTAGGTTCACTGGTGCATGTATTCCGTTCCAGAGACTTAGCGGTACATATTAATCTGTGTGATGTTCACGTTTTTTAAATTTTGGTCTTGACAGACATAAGTTAATTCGAGATGGCGATGCGTGAAATACGGACCCCATTGGTGCTTTTACAGTAATATGGAACTCAACTCCTCCGAACTTTCTATTTGCAAGCAGACATTCCTCCAGAGCAATTTGTGAAAAAGACACTAGGTAGAAAGCCAATTCTTCCCGAGAATATCGAAAAAGAGCTGCTGGAATATATATTGTTGATGGAGGTCATATTTTTCTATTATAAAAGCATTTTTGCGATAAAATACATTGGAGTAAATAATTTGGTAATTATTTAACATTTTTTGTCCTTTCCTATTTGTTTTTGGCTACATTAAAGCATTTTTTTGGTAAGGTTCCATATTACCACCCGATTTTCTCTAAGCCTACTTTCGGACTTTTTGTACAAAAGCTTTCAAAAACCATACTTATAATCACACTAGCGAAAAATCCAATTAGGAACATTTAGTTTACTAGTTACCAGTACTTTTCGCACAAAAAATGTGGGTGTAGTTACGGTACCTTGTTTACAATTCACTAAAATATAATTGGAGTTCCATAATACCACCTTCTCCTCTACTTAAAATGTTGTGTGAGTAAGTTATGATTAATTTTCATAAATTATTAGCCGTGTAAGTTTATATGCCCCATTGATTCTATATGTTTTTAATAATAGGAAATTAAACTTGAAAATTCGATATCTAAAAGTATTGAACTTGTCGATGAATCATCGTGTATCAAACAAAATAATGTTCAATACCTGATTTGAAATATAGTTAAAAGGAAAGTTAAAATTAAAGTTAAAAATAAGAACATTTCATAAAATCACAAGTTATAATCCAAATAGATCTGAAAAATTATTATTATTATACTTATTAGTATTAGAACGGGGATTTATTCACTCATGTTTGTGTTCATTTTTAATCCCTGTACAATGTTAATGTTTCTTATACTTGTATTAATAGCTTCGTTCATGCTAAGGACAAATATAATTTCTTTTAAAATTTTTCAAAATTAAAAATTTTAGCCTTTTCATTTGGTTCATAATTATTGATTTCATTCAATAACCACCATTTTCTATTTTAATGTTTTATTTCCTGTATTCAATTAGTCCTCAAATTTTATAATATATATGCATATAATTATTTATGTTTAGGTATTCAGATGTTCAAAATAGTTTTAATTTAACTCTTTATGTGTTAAAATCATGTAGAGTCTATAAATATTTGATTATTTATTTATTTAGTTAGTTTTTAACCCGGAGACCTCTTATAACTTCAATAGCACGTAAGACTGAAATTATTCATTTAACGAACATTAAAATAACCTGCACTAATTAATCTTTTATGACAATATAAATTAAAAAAACATTTACACCAGAAATATATATTAGAAGCTTTCAAAAAACCTTATTACAAACGCAAAATACTATATAACTTTGTGTAGAAATATTTAATATAAAATTCCACTGCTACTAAAAAATAACTTTTGTCGTGTGAAACAACCATTACTTTTTAAATATTTAATTAAAGTGCAGCTACGAATTGTCGTGAAGCCCGCACATCACCAGAGAACCACGCCTGGCATAGAAATCAATAAAAAGATATTTGTTTTATGCGAATATCCGTATAATAATATATAAAACCTTTGTTATATATCGCTATTTTTGTTTCTATTCATACTTTTTCCTGTAGATTCTATAATATATTATTATTATTAATCATACAGTTTTCATATAGAAGGTTACAGTTTTGTTACGAGATAATTGCACATTGTCTTCTGTTCTATTTAAAAGAAACAGAAAGAGAGTGGCTTTAAGTCTGATAGATAATTTTATTGTTTGTATTTAGTATTATAATACGAAAAATGCTACATCTGATTTTTCTCCAAATTACAGTCATTGCCATTCTAATGATTATTTTGATTTTTGGAGCATATTTAATAAAAAATGAGAAAGAGATTATTAGAAAAATATGCATCCAAACTATAGAAATTGCACGTTTCGCTTTCGACAGTATTTTGTCTACGTTGTGGAAAGATAAATCTCTGAAAGACATTGGTAAGTGAAATTTTTTGATTTTTCCTCACTGTACTCTTATATTGTAATGTTTTCATTCTTAATTAGCCATGTTATTATGTTGATATTGACAACTATAAAATTGTTTATAAAATGTTATTTAACTACATATGAAATTACAAAGTTAGTTATCGGCTCCAATCAGATTTCGTCCATAAGCAGTTGCCTAGTTTTCCCAGACCTACGTTTAATCCTGAAGAGCATGTTATTTTTATATAGAACTAGCTATAAATACCGGCTTTGCTGGTTTTTTATTTCTTCGTACATTTATATATAATATAGTTTTTTTATATAAAACACTGTATCACTTCCTCTACATAATCTTTCACTGATTCGATGTGTTTCCCTATAATTTTCAAGTTGCTCTTCTGTTTGATTATTTTTGTTTCGTTGATAATTTTCTCGTAGCAATGTTAGACGTACTTCTTGTTCTTCCATGGATTCATTTTTCCGCGCCATCTTTTGCCTTTGAGATATGACTCGAGACCGCAAAAAATCTTTCTTACGCTTTGGCATTGTTTTTTATATTTTTACTTTTTATACTTCACCATTGACTTTACACTTTCTACTTTTTTCTGTTATTCGTACACTTTTACTTATGAAAATTCAAGTGAAGCATGTGCGTCACACGTCTCCAAAAGCAATCCCCACTACTCACACATAACGGTCCTGGACTATTCCAAAACATTTAAGATTAAGATTAAGATTACATTATAGCCAATCTTATCCGTTTTCACAAAATGCAAAAATTAGGTCCCCCCGTTCCCAGACTAATAAGAGAATTTTTACATGGGTCTATTATAAACACTTATTGTTCATATGTGTTAAACGTTATGGAAATATGTACAAGAGTCTCCCTTTAACAGTTGTTAATACAGATCCTGTCATAATTAGAAATAATAATTTTTAACTATTTTATTGATTTCTATTTAATTATTAACTTTATTATAGAAATAAAACAAGAAGATAAAAGAACTTCAAAAAGAAAACAAAAATTACCAAAAATATCAGAAACGATGATTATATGGAACAGTTTATTCTGTCCACGAAAAGTACAGAACTATTCTTCTCATGTTGGAATCTGTAAACAGATATATTATATTAAATATAATAAAGCCTAATATAATTAGTCTTAAACGTCTGTTTAATTTATAGATTTTTTGCAAGTTACAACTGGTATGTCCATGTTATATTTGAAAGAAAAGATGGTCATATCATCGTGGGGAGGACGTAATTATATATTGTTTTTTCATCCAGAACCTGCTCAGGTATTGTATTATGTTCTGTACTTCTCACTAATATTGTCATTATTACGTATATTAATAATTGTATTTAAATAGGAAGTTTTAAAAAGTAGCATCATAATTAACAAAGATAGAACTTACGACTTTTTTAAACTTTGGTTTGGAGAAAATTCCATTTTATATACGTAAGTTGATAACAAATAATCAAGGTCAAACGAGGATAATTGTAATTTACATGCTTATTATTTAATAGTAAAGGCGATAAATGGAAGAAGGAAAGGAAACTGTTAATGCCAGCTTTTCATTTTCGTATCTTGGAAAAGTTTCAATGCATATTTAATGAACAGTCAAATGTATTAATAGAAAAACTTAAGAAACTAAAGAGAAATGAAGTGTGTGATATCATAGAAATGATTAAACCTTGCTCTTTAGATATAATTGCAGGTAAACATAAATATTTGATTAATATACATAATATAATGAGGATTATATTAATTATTTTAAAAAAATATTTTTTTTAAAAATTAGCCACGGCATTAGGAGTTTCTATAAATGCTCAAAGTAAGAAATCAAATGCTTACTTTCTTGCAATCAATGGGTAAGTAGAAAATATCAAAATAACAATATGGAATTAAATGTCATGATATATTAATTTTATACTGATAATTTTAATAAATTCGAGATTTCTTTAATCAAAGATTGATGCAAATTTCAGTAAAAACTTCGAGACTGTAAACACGTAGAAAATACAAGCAAATGTTCAGTAGGGATTAGAGCAGATTCCAGATAATTATTCGTTGTTTGAAGCCTTTATCAACTGAACAATAAAATTGCTGTTAAATAGCGCTATCTGGTTTCGATTTGCCGTTAGTAATTCTTAGAACAATTGCATGCAGGAGTAGAAGTTGTTTACCATAAAAAGGCAGCTGAATAAACAGGCGGCATTTTGACTGATGATATTTTTAACAAAATATATTTTTATGGCATCTGTTAAAATATTCTAGAATTACATATAAAATGCCAGTAAGAGCTATCTGGTTTGTATTTGTTTAGACATAGCATAGCAATGGTTGTACAGTACAGTACGTGTTTGATATTATCATTGTCTTATTGTGTTTTACGTGATCTTACGTATATTTCAGTTGACTGTTTTTCGATAGAAGTTTGCAAATAGAATTTTAAAAAGTAAGTGATATTTATTGTATTGTAAAAGGTTATATCACAGTTCTTCAGAAATTAATGTCTTTAATATTAACTTCAAATATTGTTTATCAATTTATTAATAAATTTTTATGATATTTAACCATCCATAAAGATTTTTAAAGATTAGTAATTATGCATAACTTTTAAATATTGATTGTAAACACGAAAGATGGAATACTACTGTAGTTTATGTAATTTCTGAAAGTATACAGAAATATATTTTAGACATGGATGGATACAAACAATATTACTATAATTTTTGCTAAAATTCCAGCCAAATCATACGGAAGAATTAACTCCTGTTAAATTCGTGTGTCATATGATTGTTTATACAGTAGAGCATCGATTATCCGACTCAATTGGGGACTCGGGTTCGTCGGATAACTGAAAAAAATCGGATAACCGAAAAGAATGAAAAAAATACATTATTATAATAGTATATTAGTATATCCCTTGTAATTAGTATATTAGTATATCGCTATTAACCAACATCGCGTTGAATTTTCATCGATGTTAAGCCTAACAAATTAAAAAAATAATAATAATCGTCGCTTTTGTATGGTCAAAAATTATTTTAAAATTATTTTATTGCTCACAAAACAAACAACCACTCATAATTATAAAATTAAGTCTCGTTTAAATACGGTACTGGCCTCCCTTCAATGGTCGAGCCTGTGTTGCCTACTAAAACACGCAAAAGTTTAACAAAAATAATATTAAAGTAGCCATGACAAAGCCAAATATTGTAGCGCCACATCACTAGCGGACATTTGAAATTTGCTGATTAGAACGGTCGGTTAACCGATGTCACGGTTAATCGGGGGTCAAATAATCGATGTTCTACTGTATACACATGCTCTTATACATCACAGATTTCAAGAAGGAATTTCAGAAACAAATTTTAAATTTTTCTTTATTCTTTGTTCTGCACAATCGTTTTATTTAATAACAGCTGTTTGAAAAAATCTTTTCAAAGAACTGAAAAAGTCTTTTCAAACAGCTGTTTAATAAAAAATTGTTTGACATCTAAATAATGCAAAGGATATATCTTTAGTGATTTTATAAGGTTATAAACATGTATAATGTGATATGATTGTGTTTAAAAACTTACGTATTTTTTATGTATGTGGTTCAAATTAATTTTTTTTCTACTGGTACACACTTTACTTTTCATATGTAATATTTTTGGTTTGTTTTTTATGATTACTGTTATACTCAATATTGTATTAAGTAAAGTATATATTATAATCATAAAAAGGTTTGCCTTGTTTAAATGTTTTATTGTTCATTCAAGATGCAGCTTTTGAAAGTTTGCAGAAATGCATTTCATATGCACCCATCTGGTGGTTCTGTTAATATGCTACAGGAAAAATTGCACTAACATAACTCATGTTTGTCAACAAACGATCGGACTGTATAAATAAATAAAAATTATTTGTACAGTGAAAATGACCCAAAATAACAAAGCAGAGAACTACTGAATATATTTTAATATTAATTAATGAATACACTAATCAATGCATTTATGATACGTATCATAGACAGACATGGAGAAATGATAAACAATAATGAGTAATTTGTTTCTATAATATTTGAATTAATTTGGGATAAAAATCACTAAAATATGCTTTTATAAATTTATTGTTGACGTTTTGATCATTTCGTTCTGTACATCTTAGTACAGAATACAATTAGGCCTATTTCCTATTTATTATGCAGGATAACATCTTCGCTGCTTGAATGGTTCATGAAGCCATGGTATTGGATACCTGCAATATTTAAATTCAGTTCATTAGGACGAAACTTAAGAAAAAATATTCAATTTGTTCATCAATTTAATACAGAGGTGAGTTATCATTAGGTATTACTAAAAATATAATTATTTTCAGATTAATAAATTATCGTTTAGGTCATTAAAAGAAGGAAGGAGAAGCTGATGAAAAAAGGGAATGATTGTGATTTCTTTGAAAAATTCGAAGCGTATGAAGAAGATACGTTTAGTAAGAAGAAACGGCCATTGTTGGACTTACTGTTGCATTACCATATCAATGAACGAACTATGACAGAAGAAGTTGTCAGAGATCAAGCAGAGAGTATTATATTTGGAGTAAGGAAAAATCAATTAAATTTATAACAGTGGTTACTGCCACTTTTATTTTCAATAGGCTATATTGACAATCTCGAATTTTCAATTCTAATAACATCGAACGTGATATATTTTGTCGATATAATCAGACATAAACTACAGTAAATATAGGGTAAAGTAGGTGATAAGTAAAGTTTTATCAGTAGGTTAACGTAAAGTTGTCAGCTTTGTGTCTGTCGAAAGCACAAAAACCCATTACTTTCGAAACTGGCATTGGTCGTGAATAACGAATTAGTCCTGAGAAATTTGCAGGTGTAATAAATAGAGAATATGAGTTATTCCACATATAAATTCAGTGTTTCTGCAGAGATTTAATATCTAAATTAGTTTTGGTGTTGGGTTTGTTTGGTATGTCTTGATATTAGCAAATGAAATATGAAAGTCATCGAAATAACTTTTGTCATATTAGCAGAATATACAAAACGAAGTCTCACTGGAAGCTTATGTTGTCTTTATTTACGACAAAAACGTGGGAACTCGTGTAAAAACAAAATTAAAGTTGGTACGTTGATGGAAGAAATAATAAGACTGTTCATACATGATTCACATCTTGGCAGAGCTTTATCATTTTGAATTGGAATGCTAGACTTTTCCAGAATCTATATATGTTCAAATTTCTTGAGAAACAAAAGAGTGGACATTTATGCTATTTATGTAAAATAGTATAAGAAGCTTATCATAATCTGAATTGCTTAGTTCCTCAAAATGCTCTTCCTTCATTCAAACTTGAACTTGTCCCTTGCAATCTACTACATGTGAGTTATGAGCACGGTAAACATTTTATCAGGAAATTTTAAAAATCGAAAAATGTCGCAAGGCTTTTAATGGTGATTTAAATGTTGGTTATGTTTTAAACAGAATAAGATGTATAAAAGTATTGTATATTTTTGCTACGTTAAGAGGTTCTAGTAGAAGAATCTAATAGACATATTCTTGCCAAAAGTGTCTTGCAAAAAGTACGTTAGGAAGAATAAGTCTTCATTTCGTGTTGTCTCAAACTTTCTGTCTTTAATTGTTAGTTGATTATTAATTTTTTATGGAATGTATTCAATTGCTAAAATTGTTGCAGTTTGAGACTACTTTCACACACATTAATTAAAAATATTTAATTCCACTTACAAATTATGCTTTCTTAAGTACTGAAATTAATATGTCTCTAAGTAATTGTTTTCGAAATACTGCATTTAAAAGAAAACAAAGGGCATTTATAATAATATATGATGATTTACTGCACACTTTGCAATGGAAGAATAGCCTTCAGATCAATTATTCGTAATAAAATTTTGTTTTGCTTTTTCTTTTAATCAGGGTCACGATACTTCCACCTATGGAATATGTTGGACACTTTATTTGGTGGGACGATATGAAGACGTACAAGAGAAAGTATATCAAGAGCTGCACGAAATATTCAGAAATGATAAGTATAGAGACATCACCGTCGAAGATTTGAAGAAAATGAGATATTTAGATTGTGTAATTAAGGTATTGTTTTTATATTCAACTAGCTGCAAGGACCCGCTTCGCTGGGTTTTTATTTGTTTGTACATTTGTATGTAATATAGTTGTTCTTATATATAAAAGACTGTTTTTCTAAGTAATCTAGAATTTAGCTGCAAGGACCCGCTCCGCTGGGCGAAAAGTAACGATAGTGAAAATTAAGATAATTATATTACAGCCAATCTTACCCGTTTTCACAGAATCCAAGAATTAGATCCCCCGTTTCCAGACTAATTACAGACCTGGTCGCGATTCTATTTCTGAACGTCTCCTGTTCACGTCCAGTCAAACGAACTATTTTCAACGTTTCTGGAACGTTTACAATCGTTCTATAATCGAACCAATATTCGAATTTTATGTTCGAATTCAAATTCGAATATTGTTCGAATCAAATTCGAACAAATTCCAACATTGTTCGAATTGAATTCGAACAAATTCGAACATAACATTTGAAATAGGAAACCACTTTCAGCGCCATATTTTCCGCACCCTTATAGCTATCAAGACGCAACCCCATAGTGCACGAATGGAGACTTGGGGCTATCACCACATACAAACAGCATTCATTTGCGATGTGTAGTTTTTGCGGAAAAGTGAAATATAGGGACACACACGTCCATATATATATATATATATATATATATATAGATTTTTTGTTTGAAAGTTATTTTACTCAGTCTAATAAATATATTTTCATCACAATTATAATAAATCTAATAAAAGTTGAATTTTCACAAAACTCATTTAAAAAGTTTATTTCACTGAAACATTATTTATTGTTCAGTAACAACGTAAGTTAAAAAATATCTACAATTATATTACGTTTGGTATGAATATTAAGTATATTAATAACTATAAATTATATCAAATACAGATACTGTATAGGTACACATAAATGTAAATTAAAAGAACACGTGTTAACAAAGTCATTATTGTTATTTTTAGTAATTAACAAAATACTTTATTTCGTGTATAGTGGAAGAATAACCACTATAAATTCAAAATCATCTGAAAGTCCGGACCATCTTTGTAATTTTATATAATTGATTTTTAAAGAAAATTTCGTAACAATTCTACAGAAATAATAGGAATTTTTTTTTTATATACAGTAAACACATTTTATTCAAATTTTAATTAAAAATTTTGTCACTAAAAAACCTCGTTTATAAGGAAATTGAATTATAAAGTCCACGTTGCTTACTTTATAGGCCCACTTATCAATGGATACGTAGTTTGAAAATACTTATTGTTCTGCAGTAATTACATATTACGTTTAAAAAAAGCTGTCAGGAGCCAATTTTCTTTATTACGTATAAAGCCAGAGGATTTAATAAATTCTTTTAACCGTTTCTTATTTTTGCAATAGCCGTTGTTTTGAAATAGCAATACAGCACTAACAGACCTGAAAATGCGTGTTTCCTTACCGTGTGGCAAATATAATTTTACATTAAATCACATATATATTACTTATTTATAAAGTCTTGTAATTCATTGTTATCTAAGAACAAAGTATTACTAATTTATAATTATGCTTGCTTTATTTTAAACAGTGTTTTTATATTTAGCCTATATTGCTTGCTTTATTTTAAACAGTGTTTTTATATTTAGCCTTTTTTCCATATTACTTTGTATTATGAATGTTTCTATGTAAAATGATAAAAATGATATTTTAAGCCTAGGTAAAAACCTAGGTAATTTCAGCTTACAACATTTAAAAAAGCAATACATTATATTATATTCGTGTAAAATGTTATTATTCTACAACAATATTTACTTTGTTCGCTAATCACTTACATTGTTTTAAATAAAATATATTTAATTCACTTGTTTTTTTGATATGTTATGTTTGCTATATCGTATTTTTTGTAAATGTTTAACTGTTACAGGAAGCTTTAAGGATATATCCTCCTGTCGCTTTCATTAGTAGACACAATCCTTCCGAAATGAAAGTAGGTAAGTTCATTCGTATATTGATTTTCACTATTTTCAAATTAAAAAGCTTTAGCATTTGACTGGAAAGATTTAAATATAAATTCTGAAACCAACTAACTTACCGATTTTCTTGTAAGAATATATCAGTTGTCTTGTAAATACCTTCGTTTAACATGGCAAATTATAAAGTAAAAATATTCGAAAGAAAGTAAAAGTAATGTTTCATTAATCACTCTTAATTAAAAACTGTTATATTATTTGTCTTTTTGAACAGGAGAGTATATTTTGCCAGCCAATTCCTCTTGTGTCATTTGTATCTATGCAATTCATCATAATCCGACCGTCTTCGAAAATCCCGAAATATTCGATCCCGATCGATTTTTACCGGAAAACTTCAAAAAATGTCACCCTTTTGCATTCATTCCGTTTTCTGCCGGTCCAAGAAATTGTCTCGGTAAGTACAAAACTTCGAAAAATTACATAAAATATGAATGAAATCATGTCAAAATTATTTTCTTCATTAGGACAGAGATTTTCAATGATGGAAATGAAGACAATATTAGCAAACGTTCTTCGTCACTTTACAATTAATTCTTTAGATCCTCGAGATAAAATTGTTATTTCTGCCGACGTAATTCTTCGTCCTGTAAACGGTATTAGAATGACAATGGAAAGAAGATACAATTACTAATCGAAGTGTCCATAAAGTATGAATGTTACTCTAAAGAAGGCAAAATCGAATCTAGATCTCATCTTCAAGAATTATTCAATGATAATGTGGTCTCAATAATTCTGGTTTGCAATATAGGGAAAACGTTTGTCATCTGTAATACACTATTTTAATGGGAGGTGTACGGTCAAAAAAGAAAAATTCATTTAATAAACGAGAAAATTTAAATAATTTTATTTTAATAGGACACATATTTTACAACACTCTTTGAGTATTTTAATACTCAAACATTATTGTGAAATTTAGATTAAGAATATTGACACATTTAACATGCACTATTCGTGACGAAATTAACTTTTGAAAAACTTACACATTTGTGTCTTGCAATTGTATTGATACATGTTCGTGTTTTTACCGGTTACTGGAAACAGTAAGTTTCTACTTTCCCGGCTGTTACATATAAAAGACAGAAAGTACAGCAATACGTCAAAAAACGACCTTTAAGATTTATACATTTTCGGAATCAAGACATTCTGAAATGTCGAGAAATTAAAATATTCGGATTTTTTTTCTTTATGTACGAATGTCAGTGTCTGTGTGAAAGGCATGATTTTTCGACCCTATTTAAAGCTTAATTACTCCGGTGCTTTTTCTCGTAAATATTTGATATTATGCAGGTGGTTTGTGTATTATGAGATTAATGCTATTAACGTTTTTTTATTAATAGTCGTATTCGGATACTAAAAGTGTACCATTAAAACCCAGATGAAGGGGTCAGTAACTAACCCTAACTCTAAATAAAATGTGCATTTTGTATGAGAGAGGTTAAATGTTAACCCCAAGCTGATATATTTTTTATTGATATGATTGTTTCTATAACTTTAGCTTTTTAAATAACTCAACCTTTAGAATTCAAGACAATTTTTATTGTTGAAAATCTATATTTATATCTATATATCTATACTAATATTATAAAAAGGTAATGTTTGTATGTATGTAAGTAAGTAAGTTTGGATATAGCGGGTAATCTCCTAAACTACTCATCCGATTTCAAAAATTATTTCACCAATATTTAGAATGGAACTTCAGGGTGGACATAGGATGTATATTATTCCGTTAAACATTCATATAAATTAAAAGATATCATTTAGGTTAAGGCTTTTATGTCCAACAGATGGCGCTACGAGTACAACGCCCTAAGTTTGCTTTTCTGTAAAAATGAACTAAAGCAGATCATCTTCTATCTATCTATATAAGTAAAAATGTAATGTTCGTTTGTTCCTACCGACTTCTTTGAAAATTTTATACAACGCTGCATTCGAATAGGCACGTTTTTATATAATATACGTGTCGAAAATTCCCCCACTGGAAGGAGATGGACAGGATTAAGGCTTACCGTAAAGAACTCTCTACTTCTATTTATACTATTTTAGATGCGGTTTTTTGCGTTTTTTTTGCGTTTTAATAGGGTACGTCAACAGAATATACACTAAGAAGGGATTTCTCGATATTCCCCCTGCGGGGGAGAGAGACAGAATTAAGGCTTACTGTGAAAAACTTGGCTTTCATTATATTATTTTACATGCGGGTTTTTCGTTTTTGATTGCATTTTAATAGGGTACGTCAAGAGAATGTACACTAAAAAAAAATTTTCGAAAAATTCCCCCCTCCACGGGAAATGTGTTTTACATATATAACAGATACATTTTGAGCCACAACAACGCGTGGCGGGGTCTGCTAGTATATATATATATATATATATACTATATCCTACATTNATATATTTCCATTTATATATATATATTTGGTGTGGGTGCCTATATTTCACTACACATCGCACATGAGTGGTGTTTGTGTGTGGTAATAGCTCCGAGTCTCCCATCGTGCACTATGGTGGTTGCGTCTCGATAGCTATAAGGGTGTGGGAGATATGGGGTTAAAAGTGGTTGACTTCTAAAATGTGTAACAATGGAAGTGTCGATAATACAAGTGTTAACAATGGAAGTGTTAACAATAGAAATGTTAACAATGGAAGTGTTGAGTAACAAAGAAATTATTAAGAGAAAGCGACGTGCAAGATTTACGGGCACAGATGCGGTTTTTTTTGTTTTTGCGGGAAATCGAACATATTTTCAGACCCATGTAAAAATTCTCTAATTAGTCTGGAAACGGGGGACCTAATTCTTGCGTTCTGTGAAAACGGGTAAGATTGGCTGTAATGTAATCTTAATATTAAATGTTTAGGAATAGTCGAGGGCAGTTATGTCAGAGTAATGGGAAAGGCTTTTGGAGACGTGTGACGCATATGCTTCACTTGATTTTTCACAAGTAAAAGTGTACGAATAACGTAAAAGAAGTAGAAAGTGAAAAGTGAATAGTAAAGTGTGAAAAGTAAAAATATAATAAACAATGTCAAAGCGTAAGAAAGAATTTTTGCGGTCTCGAATCATATCTGAAAGGCAAAAGATGGCGCGGAGAAACGAATCCATGGAAGAACAAGAAGTACGTCTAACATTGCTACGAGAAAATTATTAACAAATCAAAAATAATTAGACAGAAGAGCGACTTGAAAATTATAGGGAAACACGGTGAATCAGAGAAAGATTATGTAGAGAAAAAAAAAGTCTTTTATATATAAAAAAAACTATGTTACATATAAATGTACGAACAAATAAAAACCCAGAGAAGCGAGTAATCGCAGCTAGTAATTATAATAAAATTAAATTAAATGCACTCCGTACATGTTCTAACAATACAGAGTTTTTTTTATGTATGTTTAGAGCAAATGTATTTAGCGCACTTTGTACAATTTTTATATATTATCAGTCTTTTGTTCTTGGACATGAAAGGCATTTTTTAAGGAATACTTTTAGTAGCATTCCTTTTTGCTCTTATTTTTGGTTACGTTTGAACTGTATCTCTTAATTGCGATCCTTAAGGTCATTTTTGAAAATTTTTTTTTGAATTTTAGAATATTTCTTAAAAGTCTCCAAATTATTTCAAAATTTTTTCCTGCGCGAAAAAATTTTATCGCGATTTTAATTTATTTTTAATGACGCACGCTTCACGTTTAATTGCTTTTTAACAGTTTTTTAATGGGATTTTGATATCAAATTTCATTCATCGTTGTAAAGTTGTAGTGCACGGATTTTCCTTCGGTAAAGTTATTTAAAGCTAGTTTATGATGTCAAAACGACTTTCGATAGTTTCTTAATTTTTTCGATTAATAGATTTTATTATATATAAGTTTATTTAAGTCGGGGGTCGGAAATCGCAATATAAATTTTAATTTCTTAAAAATATTTAAAAAATATACGGCCAGCTAGTATTCACCCTAATATAAACCCATCGCCTCCCGAGAATGTCCCGGGAAATCCAACTCCAGCTGTGTTCAAGGTAATCCAGCTGTGTAAACAATGAATCATCAGTGTCAAATTTCACAGAAAGGCGAGATAAAGGAAAATAAAATTTGAAGCTTTTTCTTCAAAATTAATGCATTTTTTTCGTTTTTTCAGTTTTAAGTATTTTTAAGTATTTTTTGTGTTTAATTACATTAATATCAAAAATGTCTTCGTACGCAAAGAGTTAAAGTGTATTGACGTCACATTCTATATGAATGATTGAGGACACGAGATCTGAAAATTATAGCCGCCCATATGAGATATAACAATTTTATTATCATATTAAGGTTACTTTTGACATTCTCGCGTAAATAAGAAGTTCATGTGTACATTTTTATATGACTACCTTTATACACGAGTTTTTGAAATTTACTGTATGATTGATGACTAATTTGTATCTGTTCTACTTATAAATTAGGATGGTTTTAGATAAATATATAAATATAACTTACGTATATATAGGGTGTTTCATTTCACTTGAGACTGTGAAAAACTCGAGAAATGAATGTTGTAAATTTCCCTCCTAGTAGTGTTTCGAGATAGGAACAAACACGCGATAGTCTGATTTGGCGTGAATACGACTATAAAGATGTTACTTTAACATCTCAAAGAAGAGTTCTCAACGATTATCGACAGTGTCGGCGAAGGTGTGCGGATGCACATTATCATAAAACAACACAACGTTGTTTCAGGCGTTGTTACATCATGTTATTTCTTTCAATTGAATTTTCATATAAAATATATAATTTATTAGATCAAAGTAGTTTTGGATTGGTACAGAAACTGTCATTGGTGCATGACACTTCCCCAAAAACTTTGTACAGTCTTATCATAAGCATTATAAAAGTTATTTGACATATTAAAAGTATTTAGAAAATTAAATTAAAGTAATTGTACAAAAGTTGCAGAACTCTAATAAAATTGAAATAAACTTTTAAATTAAATTTTGAAAATATATTTTTCTAATTAAAATTTTTAATTAGAAAAAGATACTGTTTTTTTTTTATTTTTTAAATTCTTTTAATATGTCAAGTAACTTTTATAATAATCATAATCGGACTCTACGAAGTTTTTGGGCTAGACTCACGCAGGAATGACAATTTCTGTACCAATTCAAAACTGCTAATAATTAATTAATTATATATTTTATACAAAAATTCAATCGAAAGAAGGAATATGATGTAACAACGCCTGAAGCAACGTTGTGTTGTTTCATGATAATCTGCATCCGCACACATTTGACAACATTATGTATATTGTTTGGAAACTCCCTTTTTGAGATCTTAAAGTAACCACTCACGAATCGCGTGATTTTGCGACCGCACTTTAGTCACGTGGCGTTTCACAATATCCATTCTTTTTCCTAAAATTGTAAAATAATTGGGTTCGCTTCAAAAATTATTATTACATCTTTATTTCCATTATTTTCTCTACTTTTTGTCTCTACTCTATATTTTACTCAGTGTAAAATACATTTACATTGACAAAAATTCTTTATTTGCGTCGAATTTAATGTAATTTGATACGGAAAACACAAAAAATTAACATATCAAATTTCAAATCGCTGTAATTTATTCCTGTTTCACCGATTGCCATCAGTTTCTTTGTAAATGGAGAAGAAATATTACGCTATCAAGTGAAGTGAGTAGAAATTTCGCACTACTGCGAGTAAATTTGTCAACGGACCCCGCGTTACNCCCCGTAAAAATTTTTTTTTTGAGTTTTGAAATGTTTTTTAGGTCCCCAAATTTTTTCAAAATTTTTTTCCCGCGCGAAAAAATT